GGAGGAGGCTTCTGTTTCATTTTATCATTTCTACGCTTAAAAACATCAGCCTCCTAGAAAGATTGAGGGCAGTAGCAAAACACTTCTCCTTCCATTTCCCTTCATTCCTTTTACTCCGTTGCTTCCTCTCTTGTGAGAATGCAGAAAGGAGAGAATGATTTAAGTGTCTGTTGTTTGTTCTTTGCTGCCTTGTAACTAGAAGTTTGAGTTGGAACTAAAGCATGATTGACACCTGACTTGTTCAGAACTCTGATTGATGCTTTTCTCATTTTACGTAACTTTAAACTGATTTAAGAAGTTTAGACCACATCAGATACCTTTTAAATTTGCTTGCCATCTTGGATTAAAGGTTAATTCTATTATTTCATATTTTCAATCATTCAGTTCTATTCAGTCACTCAGTCGTGTCTGACTCTTTGCGACCCCATGAATCGCAGCACGCCAGGTCTCCCTGTCCATCGCCAACTCCCGTAGTTTAACCAGTAATTACCCTTCTCTCATTAATTGCCGTTTACTGCTTCTTCCTCCTGCCTCTTGTGAGAACACACTATTATTCATTGACACACACACTGATCTCTTTTAGCCTGAGATTCTCTTAGTTCTCATCTTTTCAACTCTACATATGATATAAAATTGCTAAAATTTCCTTTTTAAATTTTCTCCTTTTGCCTGAGTGCCAGGCCCGTAGTTCCAGTTACTTACTCTGCCTTCCCTTTGGCAATATTGCCAGCATCTAAACTTACTAGCTCTTCTCCTCATCTTTTATTTTGTTAGTGATTCTGTGATCCAGTTCCCTAAACATAAAACCTTGCAATTGTTTAATTCATTGCCCTCCTTCATTCACTTTGGCCTGTCACCACATTCTGTGGGTTTTTCCACTTCAAAACGTTTTTTATTCATCTGAATTAGTTAAAATATTGGTTTGACAGTTATAGTAAAGTCCTGAAATAACAGTGGATTAAACATAGTGTGGCTCAGATGGTAAAGTGTCTGCCTACAATGCGGGAGACCTGGGTTCTATCCATGGGTTGGGAAGATCCCCTGGAGAAGGAAATGGCAATCCACTCCAGTACTCTCACCTGGAAAATCACATGGAGGAGCCTGCTATCACAAAGAGTCGGACATGACTGAGCAACTTCACTTTCTTTAAACATAGTGTCTTATGACAGCCCAGGTAGATGGTACAGACATGGTGTAACAGCTTGACATGTTAGGGATACGGGCTACTTACATCTGTTGCTTTGTCATCCCCAGGGTAGTGTCCTTGTCCACGTGGTGAATGATAGCTCACCATACAGATACTATCAAGTTTCCAGAAAAGGAAAAAGAGAAGGGAAGGGCCACACTCTCCTCTCTTTTAGGGTATAACCTAGAAATGCATACATCACTTATGCTCATAGCTCATGTTTCAGTGACAAAATCCAGTTATGTGGTTGCATCTAGCAGCACATGAGGCTTGGTAATGGAGTCCTTAGCTATGTACCCAGCTGAACTTTCTATTTTTTAGAGAAGAGCAGAAGAGCTATTGGGAGCCCAACCAGAAGTCTCTGCCACACCTTCCTTAATCCAGTTTTATTGTCTCCCCCTTTGGTGCGCCTTTATTGCCAATGCCAAGATTACTTCTAGAGTCTTAGAGCTGGATTTACTGTTTGTTTACTATCAATTCACTCATTTTTCTATTCAAGAGCCATTTTTTGTTGTTGTTAAACCTCGGCTTAGTAGCCCACTGCATAAAGTCTGTTTCAAAACTCTTGATAATCTGGTCCTATTCTACCTGCTTCTGATCTGTTTTCAACTTTCATTCATTAATTCTTTGTTTATCCAGTAAACATGTGTTGAGTGCCTGCTCTGTGTCAGGCACATAGAGTCGTTTGTTTTTCTAAGCTAGTTCATTTGAGTTCTGTGGATAGAAAACATCATTGTGAATGTCCGTGCTCTCTCATGTCACATTGATTCATCTTTTGATGTTTGTTTTCATCTTTATAATGCTTGAGAGATTAAATGCATCATCAGAAAACAGCCTTTCAGAACTGGGTCTTGTAGTTGAAGTGGTCGGCTTTTTTTAGGAAGCAGATGAAGTTCATTTTTTTTTTTTTTTTTGCATTTAAGAAAATTATTTTAATTCAAGTATAATTGCTTTATAATGTGTTAGTTTCTGCTGTACAATAATGTGAATTTGCTATATGTATACATATATTTCCTCTCTTCCATCCCCTCATCTGCCATTTTGAATGTTCAGGTCTTTATACATTTTAGAACTATGATTTGCCTTTAGAAACAAAACAAAAGTAGAAACTAATGCCCCTTGAAACAGCTATAACTAGATTTAGTAGCTCATTGAAATTGTAAAACAGCTCAGTTCAACCATTAACTAAGAATTACCTCACGTAGTTCTCTAGTTGCTTATTTGTTTTCAAACAACTTCATCTTCAGTCCTACAATCCTAGGTATGATAGAGGCAGACATTTATTTAACATAACCAACCAGTCATCATCTTTATATTTGTACTTCATTTTTGGGGAGAAATTGTCAGATCAGGTCCAGGGCTAGGGTGAGGTCCATGAGGCCAAACTGTGTATAAGTGCAGTGTTAGATCTATCTGCAGTGAACAGGACCCTTCTGCTTTTATGCAGAGTTTTGCATATTGACTTGCCTGACTGCTCGAGTCATGATAACTTTCAAGTTAGACAGTGTAGATTTAAAAGAAAAAAAAATTCATTATTTTATCAAACCATAGAAGCTAAAAGTACCTTAAATCTTACCAGATCATACTTTAAAAATGTATGTTTGCAAATGAGATCTGATGGGGATGTGCAGGGAAGCCAGTCTGTGAAAATAAGGCAGGGGCATCTACAAGGAAGACAGTCCAGTGTCCAGGACCGATCATTCAGCTGCTTTATCTATTTCATTGTCTTAGAACAGCTACGCTTGTTCCCTCTTCAGCATGGTAGCCTTATCTCTAAAATGGCAGTGTTGTCAAGTAATTTTCAAACTACACTTGTGGACGGAGAGTTGAGGTGAAAGAAGACAGAGTGGGTAGAGACTGAAGCTGTTTTAGCCAGAGCCGCTCTGTTTGTATCTGTCTTACATATTGGCCACCTGCTGAAGAGTTCATTTCGGAAAAAAATATTTTAAAATAGTTTGAAAATAACTGAATTAGCTGATTTGCAAGATCTATGCTAATTCACAACCCTGTGCATGTATGCTAATATGATGAATTTCTGCTGATCCACCTACATCTTGATCTGCTCCTCTTACAAAGCCCGTAATAACTTTTGCTGAAACCACTGGCCTTTTTCCCTTGGGAATCTCTTAGTTGTTATATGTATATCACCAGGTTTTCCCTAGATTTAACTGCAGTTACAGGAGATAATGGAGGAAAAATTAGATCTTGTATAGTAGCAAGATCTTCTAAATTCTGCATCCAACCTGGAAGTTCAGGAAGAACATAGTAGAACACTTAGTTATATTTACAGTATTCTTATTTGATTTAAATTTCTGCTAATGTATTTAACATACATGTCAATGATAATATAACAAACTATGTTTTTCACTAGAAGAGTGGTACTTATAATTTATAAACATGAATTTTTGTAAATAGGAGATGTGTGCTCAAAACAATTTGTTGATGATGTTAAAGGGATGCCACTGTTCTTAAAGCCTTTTCAGAAATTACTTTTCTTTTGTTGGTAGTTTTTTTTGTTGTTGTTGTTGGTAGTTTTTGATAATTGATAGTTTAAAGGATAAGTAAAGAGTCTCTCAGTCTCTTAATCTTTAGTGTATTTGTGTTTAGCATATCACCCATAAATCTGAATTTTGATGTCTGTGAAGAATCAAAAATTCATATGGATATTATTTTAAAAGTCCGTTGCATGAATATATTTGAATATAGCATAAGCTGCAAAGAAATGAAAAGGGAAAAATAACTTTTTTTCTTTCTTTTGATTCTAGTAAAATAGAGATAGGTGGAAATTCATAAAATGGAAACAGAATTTAATCCTGGACAAGGTGTAAAGTTATAGAGATTTATTAAATAGACATTTTAAAGATGTGAATAACAGTGTTAAGTTTTACCGAACTGATTTTAAACTGGTTTCCTATTTGCAGTTTCTACTAGATCTTTGCTGACAGCCATAAACAAATGTTTGAAAAATTAGGACTACAAAAGTATTTTTCTTGATCTTGCTCTCTTGGGGTGCATATTTGCATTATATTACATAAATTTTGAAGCTTGTAAAACTTTTACTTTGTTACTACTTCTCATATGATCATCTGTTCGTTTATTTTTCTCTTCCTCTTCTCAGTTCCCTTTATCTCATCTGAACAAATGGGACTCATTTGAAGGAAAACAGTTTCAGATACACAGTGAGAGGAACAGAGAAAACCATATAGGAAGCTGAGTAGAGGAACACAGTTGAAAGATGTCTGCTCTGGGTTTTAAAATTCTTACGCAGTGATAAATATGCGTTCAAGCAGCTCTGAGTCTGAAAAGCACCTCACAAACCTTGACATTCAACTGATATTTATTGCATCCCTCCTACCATGTGCAAGGTGAATGAATCATAGTCTGTGCCCTCAAAAGGCTTTAAGAAACTTGTGTGAGGTGAGGGGTGAGAAGGCAGGCACTAATCAGAAATTAACAATATAGGTGATAGGTTCAACAGTAGAGAAAGACTAGAGTGTTCTAGAGCAGAGAGGAGGGAACCTACGTGATGACTTTCTCAACTTGACATTAATCCCTAATTGCACTGTTGTAGTATAATTGCAGTTTGTAGCTGGCAATTCTAGGTACTAACCCTTGGTGACATGAACCCTTTTGACTTTTAATAGAAAATTTTGTTGTAGAATTGGAGATTCTGCTTTTCTCAAGAAAGTCAAACAAGTCATGGTGTTTACCAGTTTTAAGTTAGAAAAAGACAAAATGATTGAAATTTGATGATCAAAATGGATTTTCACCTTATCTGGTTTTTCATAGTCTTTTTTTTTTTTTTAATTTACAGGAAAAAGGGTTTGTCAGAGTTTCTTCCTAAACCTGTCTTAGAAATAGCAGCATATTTTAATCAGAGATTTGTAAGTATTTTCTTCTTCTTTATTTAGGAAATTAGATACTGATTTTGTGGAAGAAATGGCTCCTTCAGTAAAACATTTGACAAGATATAGTGATACAATCTGAGTTGGCATGCAAAATTTGAATGGGAGCAAAGGACACACAAAAGTCACCTTTCAGAAAACAAAACAAGGAAAACAAATCCTCAGTCAAAAAACCTTCAACAAATCTATCAACAACTACTGAATGTTTAGTTATTTTTTTTGACATTTCTCTTTCTTAATGTCATTTTTCTTACTTTTCCCCTTTGTGAAAATATCTGTATGTTCACATATTTTAGAAAGGCTGTAACATCAATGTGAAAGGAAGAGGGAAAGAGTAGGATATGAACAGAGGAAAGGGGAAGAATTTGAATTCTGTTAAAAACTACGGTTTTGGACAACTTTGTCTTTTCCATTAATGATTTTAGTGAGTTGTTTTAAAAAAAATCAAAGTTAGATTTCATGATAGCTATGATCCATTTGGTTTCATCATATTTATGAAATACCTCCTATTGTGTGATACCAAGTACTGGTCAACGCAGGAATGGGGCATCTGGGAGATCCTTTTTACTTCAGTGTAGCAAGAGATCAAGACAAGCATATCTCTTCACAAACATATTTTATTAAACAAATTGAGATGAATCAAGGGGGGCAGAGAGTTTTGTCCTAAAAAAATGTGTTTGTAGTAATAGCATTTTATATTGTATTCCCTGAAAGATATTTCGAGTCTCATGTTGTCCTATTTTAGCATGTTGAAAGGCATACAGTCTAGGGTCCATGGTATAAAGATAGATTAATGAAGCAGAGTCAGATAATTAAGGTCTGGAGGTGGTTGGGCTCCTCACCAAGTGGGCGAGACCCTGCATAGCATACTTCTGGGCTTCTTATCAGCTAATACTTGTTTCAAAGGTTGTGACTAGAAGTGATGACTACCTTAGATCATTTTAGGATCCTAGGGCATCCCTTAAATATTGTTGTTTATTAGTTACTAGTCCTTACATCTTGGCTAATCTGTGATTATTTTTAATGACGTAAACATTTGTGATGTCAGTAATAAAGCCAACCGTCAGGAATTGAGGCATATTGCTAACCAGCAATCTTATCTTATCCTCAGATAAGATCTCAGCAGATGGTTTAATTAAAAGGTTATACTGAACTCTTTAATTCCACATTCTATAGCAGTATAGGCTGTTCTCTAGCTGTGTGGCATTATTTTTCAGTTCTCCTGTATCCATTTATGAATTTCATGGTTTTGGAGAAATTACCTGAACTCTCTGCTGCTTCAGTTTGTCAGTAAAATGAGGGTAAAAGTGCTTGTATCACAGTTTTGTTATGGGAGTAAACAAGATGATGAAATGCGATAGAAATAATAATGATGAATAGACCTCTATTGCAGTCAGAACTTCCTGTCTTCACTATATTGTTCAGTAGACTTTGAGGTCTTGCCTGTATGATTATTTCATTTGTCAGCATATATAAGCTATTTGTAAAATCACTGAAAGAATTGTTAAAATGCAGATTTGGGGCCATCTTCCCAGATATTTTTGCCAAGCATCTTAGATAATTTACATGAAAATGATCTACAGGCTACCCTTTGAAAAACACTATTTTTCCTTTGTAAATGAGCCCCAAATTAGTTGATCACCAAAGGCACATGAGAGCCTTGTAAAAAAACATACCCAGGGTTCCACCTTAAAGATTCTGATTTGGTAGGTCTGGTGCAAGGCATCAGAGCTTGTTTTTCGAAAGTTGCCACACTGATTTTGATATTTGCAAACTGCTGCTTTACAGCCTTACTGTATCTCTAATTTTTTATTCATAAAACTTTTGGCTGTGCTTACTGTATGTGGATGAGGGAATATCATTATGAATATGCGCTTCAACATATTCAAGTTACAGAAGTGAAAAGGATGAGGTTAGATGTCTGCATTTGCAGTCATTACCCAGATTTACAGTCTTCTTACCCTTGGTTGTATAGCTGCATTAGTAAATCCAAGTGCTTACTCCCTATATTGAAGAATTTCTGCATGAGAGGCTACTATAGGAAACCATGTAGTTCAAACCTCTCATCTCACAGAGCAGGAAAATGAGGCCCAGAGCTTTGCCCAAGGCCATGGCCAAGTCTTGGATCAACACCTGGATTTCTACCCCCAGCTCAGTTCCATTTCCATCGCATCAGCTGACTGCCATGTCAGGAACCTGTGACACCTATGAAACCAGTTCTTCTAGCGTTGACTGTATGTAGGCTTCCCAGCAGGTGCAGAAAGCACTCTGTGACTCAGCTTTCCTACTTACCTGTCCAGCTGTCTGAAAGTGAGCTTCTTCTTTTCTGACTCCAGTTCTCCATCCTGAATAAAAAGCAGCAGGAAGGTCACTGAGGGACTGAGGTTCTCTCTAGGAGAGGCAGTCTGTTCCAGCAGTGACACCATCATCTCAATTGCCTTCTTGATTCTTCATCTTAGCAGAGCCAACTGTGCCCTTTTTCAAACTTCAGATCTCTAGATGGCAGAGCAATCATCATTTTAGTCCATCCTCTTGCATCATTTTTTTCCTTGGCGTCACTTTAGTTACTTTTATTTGGACACTGTTCAGCTCTGAAGAGCCATTTTCTGTGTGTGTGTGTGTGTGTGTGTGTGTGTGTGTGTGTGTTAGTCACTCAGTCGTGCCCTGCTCTTTGCAACCCCATGGACTGTAGCCCTCCAGGCTCCTGTGTCCATGGGATTCTCCAGGCAAGAATACTGGTGTAGGTTGCCATTCCCTTCTCCAGGGGACCTTCCCAACCCAGGGATCGAACCCGGGTCTCCCACATTCCAGGCAGATTCTTTACCATCTGAGCCACCAGGGAAGCCATTACATTCAACCAATATTAAGTACTGTGTCCCAAGATCAGTCTTGGCTATCAGAGATATCAAATTAATCCAGCATGGTCCTAGTTTCAGAAAAATTCACAGGATCACAAGGAGGTAGGACAGTATAAAAGATGCTACAGGAGTGCTCGAGAGCATCCCAGGAGCTGTGGCTACTACTTTTTAGGGGAGCCCAGGAAGGCCTTTTGGGAAGAGGCGACATTGGTCTGCTTTGAGTGCAAAAACTATAACCCTCAATCTAAATGCACAACATTTGCAACCACATGAAGAGAATGTTTTGAACGGTTAATGAAGAGAGCAAATGCAATGAGATTAATAAGGCAAATCCCAGTATGATGGAGAGAAGGGGACACTGCAACATGTAGCTAAAAACCTGGGTCTTCTCCTCATGGTATCACGCCTAACCTGTGTGACTGGCCAGTCTAGTCAGCCTCCTTAGACTTCATTTGACTCCTTGCTCAATTCATTCTTGTAATGAAATTCATGTTAAAGGCTGTTTTTTTTGCCTGCAAAATCCCATGGACAGAGGAGCCTGGCAGGCTACAGTCCATGGAGTCGCAGGAATTGAACACAATTTAGCAACTAAACCACCACCACCGTGTATTTGGGGTACAGTCAAGGGAAGCCAGAATGCCTCCTGAAGGGTCTCCTGAGCTGAAGCTCAGTGTTGAGCAGAGGTTGACCTAGTCAAGAGAAACTTTGGAAGGAGACACTCCAGCCGGTGGCCTGAGTGTGAAGGTGAAGGGAGTGTGTCGGGAGTTATAAGCCCTGGATGGGGAGCAGTTCCTTTCACGTACCTACCTGAGGTCAGCGGAGGAGTGGCAAGACCTAAGGCTGGGGAGTAAGCAGAGTGTAGATCAGGGAGGGTGTGGCCAGTCATGCTAAGGAACTGGGCAACATTTTCTTGGCTTAAGGGGAGTAATCAGAGAACTGAGATAGTGATGTTTGCTTGGCTAGGGTAAAGAATGGACTCAGTTCAGTTCAGTCACTCAGTCATGTCTGACTCTGTGACCCCATGGACTGCAGCACGCCAGGCTTCCCTGTCCATCACCAACTTCTGGGGTTTACTCAAACTCATGTCCATTGAGTCGGTGATGCCATCCAACCATCTCATCCTCTGTCATCCCCTTCTCCTCTTGCCTTCAGTCTTTCCCAGCATCAGGGTCTTTTCCAGTGAGTCAGCTCTTTGCATCAGGTGGCCCAAGTATTGGAGTTTCAGCTTCAACATCAGTCCTTCCAATGAAGATTCAGGATTAATTTCCTTTAGGATGGACTGGTTTGATCTCCTTGCAGTCCGAGGGACTCTCAAGAGTCTTCTCCAACACCACAGTTCAAAAGCATCAATTCTTTGGCGCTCAGCTTTCTTTATAGTCCGACTCTCACATCCATACATGACTACTGGAAAAACCATAGCCTTGACTAGACAGACCTTTGTTGGCAAAGTTATGTCACTGGAAAAGGGAATGGCAAACCACTTTGGGAATACCGCAGGTATTCCTGCCTTGAGAACCCCATGAACAGTATGAAAAGAATGGACTAGAGGGCAACAAAATGGAGGTAGGATAATGAGTGAAGAGGGCCATCTAATCTAGAGAGGCAGGCGCCCTTAACTGGGGTAGTGAACAAGGCAGAGCAGAGCTGTTGGCCCATCAGTTCAAGAGCTATTTAGGGGATAGACTTTGCATGACTTGATGATCATGGAAGGTGAGGGACAAGGGTGTCTGCTGGGTTTCTGACTTGTGCAACTGGGTGGGTTATGGTGCTGTTCACTAAGAGAGAAAACTCAGGAGGAGGAACAAGCTTCAAAAGGAAGATGAATATCTCTAACAGGAGGGTCTGAGACCCGCTCATGTGTCCTGGGCTCTTCAACATTAACTGGCCTTCCATGCTGACAGTATCACACACGTTGTCCCACTTAATCTTCTCAACTGTGGGAGGTATTATTATGTGTACTCAAAAGATGTGGGAGCCAAGGCTCAGCGAGCTTAATGCCTCACATAATATCCCTCAGTTAAAAAGGAACGGAGGCAAAAGTTCAGCCCAGGATGCTCAGCTGGGTGTATTTCATCCTAAAGCACACATACCTTCTATTCTATCACTCTGTTTTCCTTTTAG